AACAATTAATTTTAATAACATTTAATAAGACCCACCATTACATTGATTAAACTTGTAATCTAAGCAAAGGTGGACGCCAAAGTCAAGAAATGATTAAGATTTAACATTAATCAGTGCTTACAATCAATGATCATTGAGACGAAAGTTTGGAACATTAATTATTTCATCAAACAAAACTTTTACAAGAACACGAAAAATTTATCTTCTCCGAGGCGATAAAGCCATCTCCTGGAGGAGAGAGTTAAAAAAAAACATATGCCATGTTCTTTTCTTCAAAATGCTACAAATTCTGTGGCTGAAAATTTTTACAACTTTCTGCTTCATCAAGAAGACAAATTTATGTATCAGACAAAAGATGTTATAAATCATGATCATGTTATGAGACATTTTATCGTAATCTGTTCCCATTTCCACTCCTCGTCGCTCCATTCTCACAAAAGAAACAGCCCGGATTACGTACCTGAAATAATCGAAGTCCTTGAGAATGTTATAATCTATAAAACCATATCTGGGACAAAGTATTGTACAACACTGAACAATTTGTTTCTCGTTAGTACTGTTCAATACTGTAAACTTTACCTAATCAACCAAATAAACTACCAAAATTACATAATATGGAAATATGTTACAAGGTACATGTGTATCTAAGCAACTTCAACTCTTACACGGGTTGCTCAATATGAAATCAAAGCACACAGAGGTCCAGATTTTGAGATTCACCAATTTACGAAAAACTGTGTCTTATAAAATGTAAATTCGACGTACATGTGAAGCAACATTTTGCAGTTATAAATAAATACGTCTCTTTTTTTACTGGCCTTTAGTCGAGATAGTTCAACGTGCTTGGGTTCTTTTACAGTGAAGAACTGCTTCATAAATGGAGCTCTCAGAATCACAAGACCGTCGCCAATTATCTGCTGAATAAGCTACACTAGTTCTTGGAGATGTAACCTGTGAAAAATCCCATCCAGTCAATTCATGCATTTTCATATTACTACTACTCCCAACTCTTGAGCCACGCCTTCTTATTCTTTGACAGATCAGCTTAAAAACATTCAGATATTTTTGTAGAAAATGCTTCGATAATCTCTGACAACTTCTCAACGCACTACTTAAAAAAGCAGCATCAGCACGACTAACCCTACTGCTAGAGGGCGTAGTGGTAGTCGATATTGAGGAGTATTCAGCATCATATTTTTCTATTTCCTTGTTCATATCTTTGACAAAAAGAGGCATAAGGAAGCCATTGGAAATGAGTTCATCTGCATGCGCAAGTGTTAGAGGGGATTCTGATATGGGAAAATCAAAGCTCAAATTTTGTGGAACTCTGAAAAATCTCTTCGAGGGTGGCAACCTTGGATCCATTTCAATGAAAGAAGCTTGATCATCTCGATCATGGCCATCAATGGAGGCTCGAAATGAAACGTCGAAAATTGATGGCTGGAAATTAGCTAACCAACCATATGAAAAGCTTTCAATAGAGGGAGATTGGGTGGTTTCCATGGCAGTTGTTTTATGGGTTATGTAAAGCATAAGTGAGGAGAAAAACTGAGTTTTAAGGTATACATTGTAGGACCCTTACCATGTGCGTGTTTGTGGAAATGTATGGATATATCGAATATATTTTGTATTTTCTTACTATTATGACAATTATGTATGTGGTGTTTCTGATCTCAGACAAGTATAATTAATAATTGAAAGTGAAAGAAAAGGAAGTAGGGACCTGAATATTAGCCCCACAAGAATTCATTTTACATATTACGATTATATATATTTTTTAAAGTTATGCAATGAAATTATTTTTCGTCTGTGTCGCACTTCAAATTAACTTTTCGGATTTAAGATCATCACACCTTCAATTCGAGTCTAAACGATGATCCATGATATATTTAATCCAAAAAGTTTACTTGTATGAATATCCATTGGTGCTATGACACTCTATGCTTCTTCAAAATGCTCGTGTTCATCAAAGTTTCAACTTTCATGTACTTCATCATTTTAAGTTGTGGGAGTTCAAGGAAATCCTTTTAAATTTCAATTTTGTCCTAATTTGCCTTATAAATAAGAAACTGTCATTGAGGTTCTTCATTACTATCATACAAGAGAGAGATTAGCTAATATAGGATGTGCAACCCGCTTGTATACTTTTTTTCATTAAAGTGAATTCTAGCAGCAACAAAGAAGAACGTAATCTCACATTGAGACGAATATCTAGAAACCTTGTGCGTTCTTGTGTCTAATTTCATTCTCCCTAGGTACCATCACCATGCTCCCTAGCAATGGAGCAAAGCTTTCAATTTACGCGAGATTGTTTTAAGTAATAAATTTTGATGATTGCATTAATTATTTTTATTTTATTAATAGTTGATTATAAATTTGTCATAATTGGTGAGAATCAATTTTGGATTTATATTTAATTATTTCATTGTCTCTATTATCTTGGAAGGTAATTAACATTTAATTCTAAAGGAGAAAAGTTTGGCTCAATGTTTGGAATCTTACTACCATACTAAAATAATAAGAATTATAATTATTATATTTTAAATAATTATAGAAAACTTTTCCTAGATTAATGGTCTTTATTATATATAATATCTCTAACTTCCTAAAGCATTTTTATAGAAATAAAGTAAAATGATTACTTTTCATTAAATTAGTGCAATAATGTTTATTGCCTCCTTGACTCCCCAATAGACCACACGTTTTCTTGCTGGAAAATAAATAAATAAAAATATCTATATTTTTATTCTTTTAAGGAATTTCCATCTTTAATTAAGTTTGGTGAAAATTATTCTTCTATATTTTCCGTACATCTTTTCTCTTCTTCCAATATCGTCTATAATACTTAATTTATTCTTATTACAAATCTCGAGGGATTAAGAATCTTTGGCCTAGTGGATTAAAGTTTAAAGTGCTTTTGAATAAATGGTACGATTTTGACATACGATTTATGTTCTTTTATATCATAATATTCTAAATGCTTCTCGTGCTCATGAATATGATATGCTATATGATTATATGTAATAGTTTTTACATGTTGATTATATTTAGAATTAAAATTTTCTACGGAATTGCTTCTAAAGATAATATAAAATAGAATTATGTGACTTGAATATTATTTCGACCTATAAAAATATATACAATATGTACTTTTATTTTTTCTAATTTATTTAAATGTCACATTTGTGAACTAAAGTGAATCTTGTGGGAAAAACTAGTATTTTTATATCTAATATGGTTGAATACTTAAATTTGTGAAATGATATTTTTAAATACTATGAAATTTTTATAGTGACATATACTTTCTAACATGTTGCGAATTTTTTTAAAAAATAGAAATGATATATAAGAATAAGTGCGGCTTTGTGTTTTTAATATGATGAGCTTTAATTTATTTAGTGCCTATTGTTCATGATAACATGTTGTAAAGTGCACTTTTAATTTTAATATGCTAAGAACATTTATGTAATTTTATTTTAAGAGCATGGGCACTTGAGTTGTGAGAGCATCAAAGGATCTGTCCACTAGCAGCAAGTCAAAATTTTGTTAAGGATCGTTTTCATGCGTACGTCATATGGTTAAATTTATAAATGTATTATCTTAATTGTCCTTGTGTGAATATGACATTTGATTATTATGTTTTATGTAATAAATATTTCGTGCATATTTATATATGTCAATGCATACATATGCATACATGAAATTTCAAAAAAATAAAAGTTTTCAAATATCAATAAGTCAAGTAATTTTTAGGAATATATGTATTCAGAATGTTTTTGTTACAAGGTGTATGTCTATGCCATGAAGGTGTGAGTGGAAAATGAGGGAGTGGGGGACCAGCGCAACAAATCAATATTCAATAATGAATGTTCAATATTAATGTTAATGTTAACCGTTTTACGGTACTATCGGTAAATTCGAACGGATTTCAAATAACATAACTCACTGCATTATGATTGGCTATAAACGATACATCAAGTGAGTTCACGACGCCAACTTTAAGGTTTTTTAAAGAAATGAAAGAAAATGAATACATATTGAAAAATATATTTTATTTTAAAGTAATTCATAAGCGTATCATGAGCATGCGTCATATCCACGAGATTTGTTCACTAAACTTTAAAGTAATATATGAAAGCAAGATTATTCGAGATGACAACTTGTAGTGACGTGCCTCAATATTATTACATTTAAATATTGATTTAGTTTTAAAAATCAAGTTAATATTTAATTTAATTATTATGTATTTTATGATGTACAAGTTATTTTCAAAAAATATGAAGTTATTGACGTTTATTATGTATAAGAAAAATGCTATCGCTTTTCCACATTAACAATATTAAAGATAAAATTAATGATAATACTTTCAAATCTATAGTTTGGGGTGTTACAGTTATATTTCATGAATGCTAGTTGGGTTACAAACAACTTCAAAATTTATCATTTCAAACAATTTCTCAAAATTTTCTCTTATACGCTCCTGCTCTTCATCGCGGCCTCCACCCCATCACAAGAGAAAAATACAAGTGTTTAAAAATCATTATGGATCATTTCTGAAAACTAACTAAATCACAATAAAGAAAACTGTAATCGCCAATAGAAAACACGCTGCCACAAGATTAAAGAGTTAGTTGGTCTCTAAACTTGTATCCTGGTTCGAAAATGGTCATCGATTCTTCTTTTTTCAGTCAAAACTTCGTCACTTACCTTGGATTCTTGCACACTAGTACCATTTGCGTAGCAACGTACTAAGTTCAGACACCAACTAAGTTTTTAACTGCACTGTCAAATATAGCATCAATTACACTGATAAATGGGAAATCTTAACAAAAAAATATCAGCAAAGTTTTCTTGGTAAGGAAATTTCAAGCTTTAATATCCACCAGCAACCTGAGTGGTTGTAATTCCTAGTGCTTTTCTCAGTTATTAATGCATAGAATTGTCTTTTTCATCAAACAATTCAGTTATTATTACAACTAGAAAACAAGATAGACAAACAAAAATACCAGACAAAGGTCCCCCCTAATGTCATAAAAAGTTGGAGAGTATACAGACATCAGGGAACCCATTAGGGGACCGAAACCAGTACTCAGAAGTGACTTGATACCAATCAGTTCACCCAAAGGACAAATGACATGTCCCATACGTACATTGGACGACATTAGTGGACGGGATTAAGAAAGAAAAATAAGTTAAAAAATATTATTTGTTGGGCTGTGCCGTGCTGTCCAGTACTCGTTGCCAATTTAAATAAAGAATTGGGTCCACTAACAGAATTTGTGATTGATTGGGTGACTTTTTTTAGTGCTCCTCCATTTGGTTCATTGTTCTAACAACAAGAAGCACTCATGGTTTGTTGAAGAAGATCATGGATTTGAGTGATGACTTTAAATTAAAAAATCAACTTACCAACCTTATCAAAAATTGAAAAGAGTAATTGTAAGGATACAAGTGAAAAACACCAAAGAAAAAAGAATATTAAAGCAATGCCAAAAGAAATGTATGCAAAGTCGAGGTAAGAGTTGAACTCTTTGTTTTTAAGTCGAATTTGCCCTGCAACGGTGCCCACAGATAATGGAAATCAACTCCTAAGATACAACGACAATCTTCTTGTGTTAGTAGCACTTCAAAACATAAGTACAACGAACCGAATATTTATTTTTGTACCCCTTCAAATGAAAATGAAAAAAAATAGCTTTTTATGTAGAATTTTAGCTAAGAAAAGATGAATTTAATGTTATGCCCTGATTGCATATAATTGAGATGAATAAACGAACGTCCCAAGGATCTAATTTATAGATAAGAAAATGTTGTGAGTGAAGTTCCGCGCTCCAAACTCAGCAACATTTGCGGAGGGTCGCAGCTATTGCTGTCGCTAGCCTGTTGTACTTGTGTCGCTCGAGCGCTAAGTGAGCGACGGAGTTGGACAAATTTCCAACAACTTTCATCTATTTTCTTCAAACATTAGCCTGTGATTTCTCATTCACCCGAAATTAGTTTGGAGATTTCAAATATACCATAACAATCTACTCGACAAGTAGAACAAGTTAGTTTATTTATTTTCATAATTAGACTATCAGATCAAGTTCGAATATTTGGTCGAAATTGACTAGAAAGTCACTTTTTTCATGATTTAACACTTGACCCATTCCAACATGGTTACCTATAGTCCATGATTTTTTTATTGATAATTGCAGTTATAGATTGCTAAACTTTTGATATTTGGGTTGAAGAAAGAAAGGCAGTAAATTAATTGATTGGGGGAAACATAAGGTAACCTAGATAACATTAAAATGACACTTCGCTTTTATGAATGAAGGTAAAACAATTGGAATCTTGAATTAAACAATACTAAATAAAATCAAGGAAAAGACACTTGTAAATTATTTGTTGGTTATGATGTTCAATTTAAAGTACTGAACATGCCCTAACAATTTTGTGAATTTTCCTTCCTAAAAGCCAGGAAAATTGATAATTTTTGTTGCATACCTCTTTTACACTTGAATCCTTGTAATAACATACATTATATGCCGTTACGGCTTTGTTAATAGGGCAAATCCTTCTGTCTCGAACAATATTAAAGAAAAAAAAAATATTTATCCATTATATTGTCTCATTTTGTTCGATATTTAATTTTTAATAATCCAACCTCGTTATACATTTGAAATAAAAGCTAGCTAATAGGACATAAATGATACTGGGGTTTTATGAGCCTGCTTGGCTCCCGTTATTTCAAATTATAATGAGAGGAATAGTAAATTTTTGGAGAATATATGATTAAAAAAGAAGAACTTTTTTTGAATTTACGTATAATATTATTTTATTGAAAAATGTGTGGTTATATGGTTGATAAGAAAAGAGGAAAAAAATGAATTATAATTTAATTGAGAAATAATGGGGGCCAAACGGGACAATTATATAAGGTTTGGTCTCTTAAAAATTTATAAGTTTACTTATTTTAAGAGTTAAAGAGTTATTTTTAAAGAAAATATTATTTTAGAGTTAAAAAATATAATTTATTCAAATATGTTTACGGACATTAGTTATTTTTTAACCATAAGAAAAATTCAAGAAATCCAAATTTTAATCCGGTTTTAAATCCAATTATAGTTGGTTTTATTTTGGATACTTTAGATTGGGTCCGATGTCCTAACAACATATTCGCTTAGAACTTTGAAAAAATGAAAAATAACTAATACAAACTGATTATGCTAATTACGATTAAAAATACCCTCTCGAGTGCATCAAATTTTAGTTTACAATAAAAATTAAGCATTTCATGTTGGCACTCATTTTTGGGAAATTATAAATTTTGGAATGGTGATTAATGAAAGAATGTGTGGTAGAAAAATAATGAAAGTTTTTAGATTTGTATGTAATATTATTTTATTCGAAGAATGCGTAGTTATAATTAAAAAAAAAATTGAAAAAAATTAATGGGTGTCAAACCCCCTTGAAATTTCTTGTTCAATTGAACTCTCTTTCATACTTGGTTGAAAACCTATCTTGTCTGGTTTTTTTCACGCGTCACTGCCCATCTTTTATTAGTCAACTCAATCATTTCCAACTTTATCAGTATTCAACGCTTATTGAACTTTGTTTAGGTTCTCGTTCACCGAATTCAAGAGTAGTATACACTTTCATATTATACGGTTATATCATAAAATCAAAACCTTCCTTTTCCTTTGACTCGTCTAATGGGCAGTGACAGATCTAAGAATTCGGGTAAGTACGGATGAATCCAGGTGAGCATGAGCGATCGCCCAATAGAAGGAAAAAAAAGTTTCGACGAAGCCAACACGTACGTCCCCAAAGACTCGTCGTGTGCTGGTTTTGCCCTGCTAAGGAGTCCTCAACCCAACATGTCTTCCCTTTTCAATTCTTCCGTAAGTGTTTTATTTTTATTTTTCCACGTTTACTTATTGACTTAAAGTAAATTTATTCAATCGCTAACAGAATTAATCGATAGAACGAAACTTTGGAACCAAAAAAGAGCCAAATGATTGTCTCTATGCATGCTTCATTGAAAACTAGAATAAGAAGAGGACTCAATTTTAGACCATTTATGATTTCATAGACCCATATTTGTTCATTACTTCAGATCAAGAAGAGAATAAGGGTTGTTTGATAAAATTTTGCTAAAATTTTTTAACAGATTTTTATAAAAGTTGATAAAATATGTAATTGAAACTTGATAAATTTGTGAATCCGATAACATATACAGCTAAATTTAATTATTAATTTTGAGCTCAAATTTTTAACTAGTTTTTATAGTATTCCAAACAAGCACTGAGATAATCCAAGTAATGACGTCAAATATAGACTTAGCTCATGTTTGGTAGTTATTAAAATCAGATTCTTAGTAAATTTTGAAAAAAATTGATGAAATATGTGGTTGACAAATTATGAATCCCATGAAATGTATGATTAAAATTAACAGTTGAATTTGATTTTAATTCAAACCAAACATCCTTATAATTGAATAGGTGGACAATTTTGACATAAATCTAGATCAATCATTGATGTCTTGTATAAATTTCAAATCTTGGTCCCAATTTTTAATATTATAGGTTCTTATATTCAACATTTTAATGTTACTTTTTCTTTGACAGTTAACAAGGATTTCTTACATGTTGACAAAATTTGTAGACGAGCTCTTACGGGAAAAGGATTTAATCAAGTCAAAACGTCTTTATTAAAGATTAAAGTGCAGGAAAAATATCGTGTTAACACAATTATATTACTGTCAATATTGAGAACAACCGATTTAGAGTCCTTCTATCATGACTTCTGTTTTCTGTAAAAGAGTTTCATGAAAAAATTACCAAAACTCTTTTAATCAAATAAGCATTTTTAAAAAATTATTAAATATATTAAAAATTTTGTCAATAATATTAAATTAAGTTTTATTCAACATTTTTAAGATAAACTATGTAAACAGTTTTTTACTATTTAATTATTATTAATAGATCTAAAAGAAACAATTAAATCTTATCTGAATAAATTTAATATTAACTACCTAATTCCTTTTTACTACTACATTCAATTCATTGTTGGATTTATTTAAAATTTAAATAAATTAAAATTTTAATAACCATGATATGTGACGTTAGTTTTACTATGGTCTACTTGAGTATTCATGTTAACCATATAAAATTTAAAAAATACTCGATTGGACCATAATTTGCTATCTCGTTATCTCAATAAGTTAATCTTTAATCTTTAAAAGTTACAATTGATTTCAAATCTTTCATAATAATTACAGAATAAATTCGTCACGTTTCTCTTGAACGCTCACTTTCATGAAACTAAATTTTGTATCTCAATTTAGACCAATATCTAGAAAATGAACGCATATTTAAATGGCTCCATTTTCACAATTTAACAAAGATTTTCATCATTTAAGGACCGATTTTCAACGAAATGTTGAAGTCCAAGTTATTATTAGACCAATAATTTAAGGACAAATAGTGCAATTTACCCGTTGTTCTATGGTGCAAATCTTTGAGAAGGAAGAGATTTACGGGCATTGTTCTAATAGCCATGAGTAATCGAAATTGTAGTGTGAAAATTAGAACAATGATTGAAGCAGACATTTCTGGGTAAAACGATTTGTTGAATTTTGTACAGAAGAAGTGGCAAGTGCCATTTATGCATTGATCTGTTGAAGCCGACCACTGCATGGGTTTCGATTTTTTTTCAACGTTGTAGCTCACCCACCATTACACGTGTTGTCTTAAACCCGCCTTTAATCCCCACACAACTCTACTTCCTTTTCAATTTCTTGAATCCGATCCCTTTCGATTTCACATAAATAACCCATCAATCCTCATCCCAAATGACATATTCACAATGGGTTTTGTTCTATACTCTGTTTGGGCATTGTTTTTCCTTGTTTTTTCAGAAAATTCTGGTTCCTCCATGGCCGGAAGAATTCGATTGGGTTCGAGGTTGTTGGCTAGTGAGAATAACGAAGCATGGGTTTCTGATAATGGAACATTTGCATTTGGCTTCAGCCCAATTGATGCAAAATCTGATCAATTTCAATTGGGAATATGGTTTGCTCAACTTCCCGGAGATCGAACCCTTGTCTGGTCGGCCGAGATGTACGTATATGTTTCTGATTATATGTTTGTTGCTTATAATCGCAAGATTAAACAGTTGTTCATGTTTTATTTTACGTAGTTTTATGATTACTTGCATATTTGAGCTTGTAACTAAAGCAAGTTAAAAGTGTTCTCGCTTATTGTTAAGCACACCATGTTTGGCAATTCTTATTTCTTGACCAATGATAAATTAAACTTTTTTTTTAGCTTAACGAGACATGCTCAGTTTAGTTAGTTTGTTAATCTTTTATTAGTATATATGCAAAGACATGAATGAATTAAATGCGCAGATATGCTTCAGAGGTCACCCTTCAATTTATTTCATTAATCTTTTCTTAATCATGCGTGTTATGCACGTATGATGCATTTACTTGTAAAAGTTATACATGTACAAGTAATTTAATTTATGATAATCATTTTTATTTTTTTGCACACGTATCGCAGATAGTTTACTTTTAATGTAATGTGTAAATTATTCTGACATTATAGTAAGAATTACTTTAAAAAAAGTAACTTTTTAGCTTAATAGTAAGAAAAAAGGAAACTCAAAATCAACATCTATTTATGCAAGCTTGTAGTATCGATGGATTCCAGATTTAGAATTAGAAGAAAGCATATTGGATTCCTATAGTCTTTACTAAAGCTTCTGCAGGTGTATATATATTTTTTGGCCTACCATTCATTTTCTCTCAATCGTCTAAATAGAAATTCTCCAGTCAGCAAAAATGCAATCTTGGAGTTTGAAACAAGCGGAAATCTTGTGCTTGTTGATAGAGACACCACTGTCTGGACATCAAATACCTCAAACTCGGGCATAGAAACAGCAATCATGTCGGAAAACGGCAACTTTATTCTATATGGCACTGATCAACACGTTGCATGGGAAAGTTTTTCGCATCCATCAGATACTCTCTTACCAGGACAGCCTTTGACAGTTTTACTGGAGCTCAAATCTTCGAAATCGCCTTCACATGGTGGTTACTACAAACTGAAAATGTTACAGCAGCGCACTTCACTAAGTCTTGCACTGACCTACAATTTGCCAGAGTCCTATGACACATCGCCTGATTCTTATACGAACTTATCCTACTGGTCGGCACCTGAGATATCAAACTTTACTGGGGATGTTGTAGCAGTTGTGGATGAAGAAGGAAGTTTTGGAATTATTTATGGCTCGTCATTGGATGGAGCGGTGTACGTGTACAAGAATGATAATGATAACGGAGGATTATCCTCGGCAACAAATCAATCAGGAAAGCCATCAGTTCTTCGAAGGTTAACCCTCGAGACTAATGGAAATTTACGTTTGTATAGATGGGACAATGATGTTAATGGATCGCGCCAGTGGGTTCCTGAGTGGGCAGCTGTTTCTAAACCGTGTGATATCGCTGGTATTTGTGGAAACGGGATATGCAATCTTGATCGAAGCAAGACCAATGCATCTTGCATGTGCTTGCCGGGAACTTCAAAGCGCAGCAATGATGACGAATGCTCGGGAAATTCATCTCTGACTGGGAAATGGTGTCCACATCATGAAAATTTAACATCCCAGTTCAAGATCGAAGCAATTCAACAAACCAATTATTACTTTGTAGAATCATCGGTAATTGCGAATTATAGCGATACAGAGACTGTCTCTAAATGCGGTGATGCCTGCTTATCGGACTGCGAATGTATTGCTTCAATCTATGGCCTTAATGAGGAAAAGGCATATTGTTGGCTTTTGAGGAGTTTAGAGTATGGTGGGTATGAGGATGCAGGCTCGACTTTATTTGTGAAGGTAGAATCAAATGGCTCTACGAATATGGAGGATGATACGAGATCAGTGATCGAACGAAAAAAAGTTTTGGTGGTTCCTATTGTTTTAAGCACGTTATTTCTGATATGCCTCTTGTGCTGCTTATTATATATCTATGTTCACAAAAAGAGATCCTTGAAAAGAGCCCTCGAGAATTCCTTAATTATATCAGGAGCTCCAATTAGTTTCAGCTACCGGGATTTACAGTATAGGACTAGTAACTTTTCCCACCTGTTAGGAACAGGTAATAAATGTAACAATGAGTTAAAAAGAAAGAAAGGACTGGGGACATTTACTAAAGCAATCAAAACTTGAAACTAATACTAATAATATGGTGTTCTTTTGCAGGTGGATTTGGCAGTGTATACAAGGGAAGTCTAGGTGATGAAACCTTAATTGCAGTAAAGAAACTTGACAGGATTTTGCCCCACGGGGAGAAGGAATTTATTACTGAGGTGAACACAATTGGCTCAATGCATCATCTGAACTTGGTCCGGCTATGTGGATACTGTTCAGAGGGCTCACAAAGGTAACTTTCTCTCCTGCTATAGTATAATAAAGTTTCACTTCCATCAATATGTCCTTGTGAATTGTTATGTTGTTTTGAAGTCAAATGTTGGAATATGCTAAACACGAGCATCAACTTCACCTGAACATAATCTCTATAGATACATTTTTAACGTTTATTGATATGTGATTGACAACAGGCTCCTCGTTTATGAGTTCATGAAGAACGGGTCATTGGACAAGTGGATATTTCCTTCACATAATTCTCGAGAAAGACTACTGGATTGGTCAACCCGTTTCCTTGTAGCTCTTGGCACAGCACAAGGGATAGCATATTTTCACGAGCAATGTCGTGACAGGATTATACATTGTGACATCAAACCGGAAAATATTCTATTGGACGAGAATTTCTGTCCGAAAGTATCAGATTTTGGACTAGCTAAATTGATGGGACGAGAGCACTCTCATGTTGTCACAATGATTCGAGGGACGCGAGGTTACTTAGCCCCAGAATGGGTTAGCAACCGCCCGATTACTGTAAAAGCTGATGTTTACAGCTATGGGATGCTTCTTCTTGAGATAATTGGTGGCCGGAGAAATCTAGATATGACATTTGATGCAGAGAGCTTCTTTTATCCTGGATGGGCGTTCAAGGTATTCTTGACTACTTCCCCCTAAACTTCTTGTACACAATTGACGTGGTTTAGAACTTAAAGCCAAGTATCTTTGTTGGAGATTAAACCTTTATCCCAATTATGAGAGCAATATTATTCAACCTGTAATCAGAAACACACGAGTAAACACACAAATTTACAGTGATTTACTCTCAATTTGAGAGTTCAAGATCACTCACCACTGCAGGTTTCCAATGTGAAGAAGAAAAAACCGATTACAATGGTAATTTCAGGCTTCTGAATTTGTCTCTCACTAAAAACACCCCAATTAATTCTTCATATATGTAGGAATATTAGGCGAAACTAATACATAGAGAACGCCTTTATATCCATTAATTCAAATATTCGCGGTTTAGGGGACTATAGTATGATTAGTCCCCAAACAGTCCATCAAAGCTCGACTAGATAGTTTTAATTATGTTAGTTTTCTGCAATTGATCACATGAATGTTTGTTTCTTTAGGAGTTGGAAAATGGAGCACCAACAAAAGTTGCAGATAGGCGACTCAAAGGAGCAGTCGACGAAGAAGAACTCATAAGAGCTTTAAAAACTGCTTTTTGGTGCATTCAAGATGAAATTTCCATGAGGCCAACAATGGGAGAAGTCGTGAAGATGTTAGAAGGATCGTTCGACATTAATATGCCATCGATGCCACAGACAGTTCTCGAGTTAATTGAAGAAGGCCTAGACCATGTCTACAAAGCCATGAAGAGAGATTTCAATCAATTCAGCTCCTTCACCATCACTACTCATCCATCATCTCATGCAACATGTAGTTATTCAACAATGTCACCAAGATAATTTAGTCAAACGGGAAGGGAAAAAGTTTGCGCTAAGATACAAAGATAATTTCCCAAAATAGGAAAAGTTGTAGGATCAGAAAAATTGTATTTTTTCATGTTCTAATTAATAGCAGTTTGAAATCGTGCATTTTTTTTGTTGATAGCAGTTTGAACTCATGCAATTGTTGAACTATTTCGTCTAAAGACATCAAATTGCTATAAGAATCTTGGGTTACCATCACCCAATATACACAAAGCATTAAGCTAAAAGCATAGCATTAATGGAGGAGCCAACAAACCTATTCATCATCTTCGAAATCAATTACGATCCTTGGCTTCCTTCTTGATGGAGCATTTTCCCGGGAGGTACTGGGATCAGCATCAGAATCTGCCAACTCATCGAGGTGTGGATCCTGAAAAGATCATCTTTCTCAATAGACATGGCATCTGATTGTTTTACACTGTTCGTAACAATCACTTAGGGTTCTGCATTGCTGGAATAGTTTGCCATCAGTGTCTTGATTTCTTCTGTTTCCATCTGACTGGATTGAGCAAAATCATCCCTGGAGAAGAATGAAGTGTTAGTATCATTCACAGAAGGCATTTCCAAATTCTGCGACATTCTTGCATTAGATATATCAGAACGCAACATAGATAATTACTTGATTTCCATTCTAGTAGTCGTTAGAATGGTGTTAGCAGAGGAATTGATGTGCAAAGGTTTACAAGGTTAGGCTGCAAAAATCAACGAACACAGTCTGTAAGGATATGAGCCTCAAGAATCAACAGAAGGAGTCATATATTCACCAAGAATCCAGAAAATCCAATAACACTAAGTAATAGATTCTCAAAATAGGGGCTCAGAATTCAGATCATTTTTACCCGTCTGTACAACACTGAATCAACCACAAAACCCCAAACCCTCAAGAAAATGTGCAAAGCAGCTACTACAATGAAACCAAGATCAACACACTGATCTCTTTCTCTCAAAACCTAGAAGTGAAGAATCACAAAGACTAGACACTCAGATTTCACCCAAAACCAGAAGTTATTAGGTATACACACAGTAGTGAGAAAACACAGAGAACGGAGACGACGAGCATAATAGAAAACCCAGAAGCTTCTCACATAACAGAATGTGCAAATCACACCAGGAGTGACCCTTCAGCTCGTATATATAACAACCCACCATCCACGGGCGGATCTAGGCCAGGGCTGGCCTAGGCTAAAGCTCGTGCTCGCCCAAGCCCAGATCCAGTTGCCTCTCCTACTTTTTTTTGTTTTTTTGGTTTAGCCCACTAGTAATATGTCCAGCCCGTGTCAAAAAAAAATTTTTTTTTTTTTTTTTGAAGAGCCCATTTCAGTTTTGGCCCAATCAAATTATCAAACAACCCTTACCCACAGAATCCCCATTTCTATCAAAGTATCAAACCCAGTTAACGGTTACCCTCAGATTCCCTGGCTTCTTTCTTCCTGACTTCCCCCCAATTGTCACCACTCGTCCGACTCATTCACGACTCACGAGTCCAATCCATACTCCATAGCTAGCAGCCCAGCACTGTTCACACGACTCACATGGTATGTTATGTATTTTGTGGCTTGAAATTGGGGCTTTTTAGGGTTTTCGATTTATTAGCCATTTAGTGCTTGAAATTGGGGCTTTTAGGGGATTGTGCTTCTAAATGTTTAATTGGCTTGAAAGTTGTTGTTTGATTTTTTATGTGATCTCGTTGATGAACAAATTATGATGACGAGTCTAATTATCCATTCTTTCTAAAATCATGACGACAAATCGAGGCATTTGTCTGAGAGGAAGACGAAATCAAATTCAACCTTTTATTATGATTTTTATTGATTAAATAGGAGGTTGTGGGCATAATGATGATGAATACGAATTGTTCTGAATTTTTGTTGATTGATTGAGTTATATAATAACCTCCTACTCATTCTGAATGTTGGAATGTCCCCTTCAATTACTGAATTTGTAGATTCGGGTTAGAACCTTTTAGATTTTGATTTGTTAGTTGAATAACGCCAAGGATCTGTTTTTGATTTCAAATCAATTGCTTGATGAATTTTCTTTTGAAATTCTTTTGAGAAAAGTACCTCTGTAGAATTATATAATTGTTGAGAATTAATTACTAGATTCATATAATTATTTTATTGTTAATCTAATGCAGAATTCTTTCTAAAAATTGATATAGAAAAAGTTCTTTCTAAAATCTAATGCGAAATTCTTGTTCATTGTCAACAGGGGATTTTGTCAAGTGTCAACAGGATTAATTCCACAAGCACATAGGAAAAGCAAAAGCTTGAATACACCTAGTAAGTCAAGTTGCTCATTTCACTGCTTATTACCTTGCCGGCAAAATATTGAATTGAATGTTTTCGCCTACTTGTATAAGTTGTTTTATCGAAATATTGTCTTGTCAGCATGATGATTGTTGTTATTGCCTTGCTGGCATAATAAATTATTTTTTAGTTTTTGTCACCTTGCCGGCTTACTAAATTATATGTTGATTGTCGTTAGAGCAATATCATTTTTTTATTTTTTGTTAAATGAATTTTACATATCATTTTTTTTTGTTAAATGAATTTTACTTTAATTTATATATGAATTTATTATATAAGGCGTGCGCCTCAAATTTAGTGGCGTGAGCCACATATTTTTAGCCTAAAAAATACCGCCTCGAGACATACTACATGCGCCTCAAGACGCGCCTCACTATCGCCTTTTTAAACCATGATTATATCGGCTTTTAAATTTTAGCCCGTGCGCGAAAAATTCCTGGATCCGCCCCTGACACCATCACCGTAGATCAAGAGTTAATCCAGTGTTCAGAGCAATACACTTGGCATTCAAATTGGGCTCGGGTTAAGGCTTGAAACAATATTGAGTTATTGGGCAATGGCTGTAAATATTCAGCAATGGGCTGAGCCCTTTTCCTTTTCATCATAGCCCAAAATAGTTAGAAAGCTAATGACATAAATGACATCACATTCCAACACAGTCAATAAATGAAGCTCATCATTTAGTTTGTTGAAGTTGTACATATTTCATGTAAACTACTAGCTGTTACATGTGATGATTATCATTTATTCATTGTTAAATTATGGATTTGGAAGAAGTCGTCTTGATTGAAATTAAATCAAAATGTAATAATATGATTGAAATAAATAAAAGGAAAATCAGGTGTACTGTAAAAAAAATAATAATAAATTAGATTTATACATTTAAACAAATTAAAACCTGTAATAACGGTAATAATTACGTCCTAAAATCTCCCAAACCCCCAAAACCAACCGAGATAAAGAGAAATCCTAAACCTCCCCAAAACCCACAATTCACAAATGCGAAGAAGCAGCAGTTTCACCCACGTGAAGAAGGCGGCGATTCATTTGCCCATTAAAGGCTCTACCCATGCAATACTACTGATTATAGACTTGAACTGTGGCTGAAGAAAGTGAATAGGAGATGAAGAGAAAATCGAGTTTTTTGGACCACGTGGTGGCATTGGTGGATGAAAGCTGGCATATAAAATCCCAATGGGTGAAAGAAGATGGCTTAGATTGCAAGGTTTATGGTTTATGGTTTTTAGCTTGGTGGTGTAGTGAATATTTAGAATTTTCTACCTCGTTTTGCTTTGTGTTCGAGAAAATGTCTGATTTTGATGGAATGTCACAATTCTTGCTCAATAATGCACTACAACAAAATACCAAAATAGTGACAAAAAAAGGTTGTCGCCTAAATAGAGATTTTATTGTAAAAATAATTCAGTGACGACAATATGTTTGTTGCGGGCGTTGTCACATTATACGAGTCACGGAATGTATTTTACAACATCTTTCGTTCATTCATCGCATTAACGAACTCGCAACATTATTTATTTGACACAAAACGTATGAAATAGCAACAATATATTTGTCACTATAATGTCGCCACAAAACATATATGTTGCAAAAAAATCAAGAGGGTGACAAGTCAGTTTGTCGCAACGATTATTCGAAAAAAAAATTGCAAGAAAAATGTTTGTTGCGAATATTATGTTAAAGGTATAAATTTTGTTACCTATTTTATTTTGCATCAAAACATGCTCATAGTGATATATCTTTAATAAAAAGTCATGTTTGTCGCGAAATATGATTTACAATGCGTTTGATATGTTGCATAATATATTTTACGATACAGCATTTGTAGTATTTATCATGTGAGTGATGTTTGTACTTAAATTTATTTCGCAATACAAAGTTTGTCATTGTTATTTGGGCAACGATACATAATTATTGCCTAATTTATTTCGTGACTATTTATATATGTCACGTATTTTATTTTAAAACATATAAAATTATTACACATTATTTTATGATAATGGATGTTTATTTATGTTACAAGCCGTGCATGCAGTTAAATTTATTTAACAACACAAAGAATTTGTCGCTTCAATGATATACATTTATTATCTAATTTATTTTATTTTTATTTATTTGTATAGTGGATTCTATTTTAAACATATAGTTTCCAATTTCTAGCTTCACCATTGAATTGTATTACATAATAATTTGAAAAAATACAACCTATTTCATTAAAAAAACCTCATGACTTGATGAAAAGAATGATTCAATGTACAATTATTAAAATATAAATAATTTCAAAATAGATAAGAAAAATCATATTATTGTCAACCAAGTAGTTATAGACCAAGGTATTATTTACAAACTTGGTTATCTCCAAAACCAAAACAAATACAAATAAAGTATATGCTAGTTATTCCAAGGTCAAACTACTTAGGGTGGTTCACCAAACCTGAAAGGAAGAAAATAAAACTAGAAGGATTGAATAAATAACAACTAATTCACGAGACAACCAAACAATCTTACTTTTAGCTCACCCTCAATCTATTATTTGATTAAATGAGGATTCTTGTAAGGAAAAACTCCACAACTTTAGTCAAAGACGAACATATAAAAAGTATAAAATATTATCTACAACAAAAATATGCCAACTATCTCATATTAACA